GCCCTCCACCCCCTCTCCCCTACGAAATCGACTGGCTCATCTCGAGTCGCACGCGCGCATAAGAGATCCGCGGACGGCGTTCACTCGGCCAATCAATCACCTCGCGACTTTATCATAAAGCTCGCGCGCGAGAATGAAGGTCGCGACGAGGATCGTGTGGAGCTGGCCGGTGCTCGTGACCCGGGCGAAATAAATCCCCGCGACGACCCGAAGATACGACCTCGGCCGCTAGCCCCGAGTGAGATACGTCGTAAAGAGGCAATTAATTCTGGCCGAGCAATGGCCGAAAGAGTCCGGCTGGCTTCTGGCCCCTGTCCAACGACGTGCTTTACGAGTCGGATTTTCATCGGCTTTCGCGAGGTCGTCTTCCCAACCCCCGGGCATGCATTATTCATAAAAGTCCGACCGAGTGCAGCCATTTTTAATTGTGCACGAGAGTCGTGTAAGCAAGGAGTGGGCCGCGAGATGAACGCGATTATGAACGATCAACGGCCCGTCGATTGACGAATTTACCAGCGCTTAGATCGCACGAGGCTGACGTGGCGACCAAGTGTTCTTTGAAGTGAGAGGGGATTGAACCGACAAGGACTATCGACGAATTAATGATTTAATGGTCATAGTGCGCTCGTCATGATGTACCCCCTCGCTAATTGGGCCTCGTTCAATGCCGGCACGAATGATAATGATGTTAGAAAATCCGTCCTTTTCCCGTATACAAACATTTGTACAATAAGACCCGGGAAGGGGGAGGCAAGAATTTTTCCTTTCCTTTCTCACGACGATTATATTGCCTTCTTAGGTGAATAAATAAATAATGTTTTCAACTCGACAGCCACGAGAAAATATGTACTTCCCCGTCTTTTCGACTCATCCTTCATCCTATACCAATTGTTGCATGAAATACACAAAGTTTCATAAATCTCCCAAAGATATGTTTGCTAACGCGATCCTTAATACGTTTACGAGTGTCAAAATTCCATTCAGTCAATATCACTCTTTCTTTCATTGTCTCTCCACAAAATATCAATTCCCCCTCGAATTCCGTGCAACGCGTACATAGGAAATTAGCCTGTAATTACACCTCGACCCAGCAAGCTTACCCTTAATTTCCTTAAAATTTATTCAATCTCTCGTTCAATATCGCTCGTACTGCATAATCAAAATCTCCTCGAACGTTCGTTTCTTTGACTACGTTTCGAACATTTAATTTCGGTAAATTGTTGCGTAGCTTAAAAACGTAAAACATATGTTCCACTCAAGCGTACACTGTTTGCTTTACAATTCATATTTTGCATGGATAAAAAGCTTCGATACGAGCTTTCCACTTGCACAACTGCAATGCTTTTACATTTATATTAATTCGGCGATGAATTAATGAATCGACGTTTGGAGAAAGGTTATTGATATATCGGCATAAGACATATCCAAATCAATATTATATCATTTTTTTAAATAATCATTATTTTTAGTTAGTTTTAATAAATTTATAAGCTCATCCAATAATTTTTTACTACTACTACTACTACCACTACTACTATTTAAGCATCAACCATTTATATTTTTCATATAATTACATAAAATAAGTACAATAATATAGTTAAAAAATATATATTGCTTATTTATTCGAAATTATAAAAAATATCGTGTAATCATTGATTTTCTAAAAAAAAAAAAAAAAGAATAATAAAAAAATAATAATAAACGTAGAATGGAACTTTTGAAACTCTTGTAACTAATCGTAATTATATTATTCTTTATTTTTATCCCAAATATATATATATATATATATATAAATTATTTATAATCGACATTACTACATTAATAAAAATTCAATTATACAGAAATTAATAATAATGCTTAGCTGAATTTTATTACTTTTTTCTTATATATATATATATATATATATATATAATAAAATGAATGCTAAAAATCAAATAAAATAAAAATAAAAAAAAATACTATAATAATAAAATTCTGCTAAGCAATATTATCAATTAATGTTTGTAAAAAAAAACGTATGCGATTAAATCTTTTATGTGATTTTTCATTGTTAAGAAAAAATAACCGTGAAAATTCTCTGAAATTCACTTTTAGTAGCAAAAATATTTTTCTTTTTAAATAAAAAAAAAAAAAATAATAAATAAATAAATAATGTACATACAAGTTAAACAATTATAAAAGCGGGTATGGCTTGAACATTCATATCCTTAAATAAAGTAAAATGGCACAATTTCAAAAATCGAGCATTTTGTAAACATTATTTAACTTTCACTGCAATAAAGAGAGAAAAATAAAGCAAATGACATTATTTTTATTATTTTTTTTTTCTTTTTTTTTTTTTTTATTTCTTTACTTTTTACATTTTTATGTTTCAATAGAGTGTACGGAAAAGAGTCGCTGGCGAAAAACTTTTCGCATTATCATGATATGTGAAATAAATTTTTTTTAATAATACATACAATTCTAAATACAAAAATAAAAATTTTTTTTCACTCAACAACGTAAAATGATATCGATGAATCATGATTTTTCTGTGGCGAGAATAAAATTGTTCAACCACATGCCAGACAACACCAGATAACAAGAGAGATAAAATTTGTAAAACTATAGGATCAAATAAAATTTATAATATTTATTATTCATCGATTAATCGTAAGTTGCTGAAATTAAGTTGCCAAAAGCTTGATAACGCAAAGCAAACGACAATTAAAGGGACATTTTATTTCGTGAAAGGAGTATCGCAATCCCGTATAAAACAGCGTCACGATATCTCTAGCTTAAACGTCGCTCTTTATTTACAAAGTTGTTCGGCTATAGGAATAGATTCGATATAAATGGAGTTTAACAACGATCCACTCCATAAATTGCCGGGCTAATATAGAACTCGCGGCGAGCATGATTTCGGCATTTTCCAGCGCGATCTCGCTCTTTCGCTCGCTTAAGCGCAAATGCAAGTGAATTTTCCTCTCCTTGCTTTGGAAATTCACGGAATTCCAGCGGAACAGTAATCGACAAATACGTGAATAATCCATACAAAGCATCGATTGCACCACTCCCGGAGAAGCTATCGTCGAGGCGCTAAATCACGTGCTCCTCCAGCGGCAATCGCTTTTGAAAGTAAAAACAAATATTTATCTAGCGCTTGCACCGCGACCGGAGAAATTCGCCCCCCCCCCCCTCCCAATTATCAACGCGCATTGGCACGATAATGCGGGGAGACACGGGAGATTTGGAAAAGTTGGAGCTACAGGGCGATAAGACGCCAGTAACTCGGGCATCGTTGGCCGAGCCTCAGTGTTACGTTGGAGTGCAACACGGGCGTCGTCGTGTCTTCGTCGTCGATCCCGATATCGAGCATTGCGCCGGGGCTGTCGCCGATCGATCATGAAGGACGTCTTCAATCAGGTGAGCGTCTTTAATTGTGGTCGCGACAAATGCCGCTGATCGAGTGGATCATCGGCCTGGCCACGGGCCGGGGAGGTGGCGAGCTCTTATATTGCCATCGCCACTTGCCGGTATCGCGACGAAGTCCGAGCTTTTTTCAGGGACGGAATTCGACTTAGCAATCAGCTCCGCGCACACGTCGTTTTTCATTATCGACAAAAGATTTCGCCCAGGTGAGGGCAAATTGCATTTGTATCCTTGGAATGCGGCTGAAAATTACTTCGACACTTTGATACATTAATGTTGAAGCGTGAAATCAAGATTTCGTTTTCGTTTATTTAGCCATTGACGCAATCTTTGCATTTTGCCACGATAATGTAGCAATCTTACGTAATGGGGCGCTTAATGCGAGGGCAAGGAAATAAAATTAAAAAGTATCGAAAGTCGCGAAATTACATACAATTGGCATACAAAAGGGAAGTGTTTTGTGCGCGCGCGCGCGCGTGTGTGTGTGTGTGTGTGTGTGTGTAGGTGGTAACGAGGATACGCGGTACGAAACGAAAAGCTCGAGCACTAAATAATAATAAAGCATAGACGCCGAATGAAAGGTGCATTCGCGAAGCCTAACGTTACAACGGTCTTAGGTAGCTTCGTGTTTACGATCCCGGAAGCCAGGCTACACGCGGCTCCGAAATAGAGTCGACCTTTGACTTGGTGTCGTTTAGCCAAGCGCTCGAGGAAGCTGCCGCCGCCGCCACCCCACCACCCACCCCCCATCCCCCACAATCATCGAACGAGCGTTCGAATCATTCAGGCTCGTCGTCGTCGCGCTATTTGCACTCGCCGGCCGACTCGATTCTAAATACGACCGCACGGTGAGCGCCCGCTCGTTAGCTCAACGGGGCAAAAAGTAGGAAAAAAAAGGGACAGAAGGTTCGATCCGAATGGCTCCGGAGGCTCGCGCTCGCTATAACGTTTCATTTCTAGTGACGATTAATCATCGTCGCCCGAGCGCATGTTGGCTTTGCAATTTATCAGTCATGCAATCGCCAGTCGTGCGCGGCAAAAATTCACCAATATTTGCGATTGTCAAAGATAAGCTTTCGCTAAGTAAAAGGAAATTTGGCCGCGAAGGCAAGTACTCCACGTTTTCACCGTAGCCGAGCGTCGGTCGGTGTGCAATGAACGAGTTCGGTATACATTTGCTTAAAAAGCACGACTTTGTGGGGTTGTTGGTGGCGGGGGGAGAGGGGAGAGGGGCAGGGGGAGGGGGTACGAGTGAAAACAACGAATGGACAAGTGGTCAGGATTTCACGTGATTTGAGGAGCCGAGGCGGACGAGAGAGAGAGAGAGAGAGATGGCGATGAGCGGCAGTGCATATTCGGTTATCGTAGAAAGTCGCCGTGGCTGCCCGATTAGTCATAAAATATGACTAATTATTACTGAAAGAGGGAGAAAGAGAGGGACTTGGCGATAGTGCTGCCCGTTAACGTCATCACGAGCTCCGCATAACTCTTCCGAAGCGTCGTTAACTGGGGCACTTCCTCGAGGCGATCGCCGTCACCGCCGCTATCACCGCCTCTACGCATTTCCACGCGGACGTAAATTTAATTGTTAACTGCACTCGAAATAATAGTAGGACCGAGTGATCACCACCACCCTCAACCTTTCCCCGAGAAAAACGAAAGTTTACCGTGTTTATGCATAATTTTTTTATTTTTACCTTGCAAATAATCTGTTCCTTTCACAAGTCATTCGGCACATTCCTCCGGGCTTCTGTTGACGATCTAATCTCACCATTAACGTGGAAGATGACTTTTTGCCCTCCCATCCGACACCCTCTTGTTCCGATTAATCTGCATATTAAAAGCGTTTTAAAATCGGTGGTAGCGCGCTTGCGCACATTATTAACAATACCCTTTAAATTTTAAATATTTTGCGATAACTAATCTTGTTATAATGCGATGGCAAACAAGTAGGAGAAAGAAATGGCCGACCGGATACGGCAGGGCATTATCTTGTGTATTTCTCTCTCTCTCTCTCTCTCTCTCTCTCTCTCTCTTCGTTTCTCGTTCCAAGGCAGTACTTCTTGAAATATCGACGATGCCAATGTTTTAAAGCTGACAGCTCATAAAAAGCGATTGGTTATCGAGGCAGCGAACAATAAAAACCCACCAAAAGAACACTTTAACTTGTTAATTTTTTCATTTTCGCTCCTACGCGACTGCATTAATTATTCGGCGGTTATAAAACATCGACATTTATAAACAGCTCGAGCAGTCATTCGTTATACCGGCTTTAAAGCGCCAAGAAAGTCATTATAGGCCAAAAATAGCGGTGATTTGGTGCCGGTGGTCTGGCAATTCGATTTGCAGGGGTGCCTGCGCGGAGGGTTTTGGGATGCGGTGGCGAGAGGGAGAGGGCGTAAGGATGAAAGGGGGTGGTAGGGATGGAGTGGCGAAGAGGGCGATCGTAAAATGCGACAATTGCGTATAAAATGTCGGTCGTTGAGAGGCTGAGGGAAATATAGGGGATCAGGTGCATGGAATTCCATAACCGCCGGAAATTCCGGGTAGCCAGGAACGTGGCTGAAGGAAAAGGGACACGCGACTCTGGTAGTGCTCGCAGACAATTTAGGTGCCGTTAATTTCCAGCTCCAAGTATGTGAGTTCTCGGGGATTTATCCGAGGACTCGCGATGCGGATAAACGCCAGCGTGCGATATCGCCTCCGCATACTTTCAATTACGCGCACTTACGCGACTGCGTCACCTTGGCTTTTCCCGCACGGGACGTCTGTCCCGCTCTTTTAATCCCCACTCACGCAATTGATTTGGCACGGAAATTACGTACATCGGAAACCACATCTTGATAAGAATAGGCTTTCCGCCCTCCCTCCCTCCCTCCCTCTCTTAACTCTCTCTCTCTCTCTCTCTCTCTCTCGCTCTCGCTCTCTCAATCTTTATTTCGGACTCTCGCTCTGTTGCAGAGACACGACGTGCATACGTGAGCAATGAGTCTCGATAATTTATTACGACTCGAGCCGAGACAAATTCGTATTTGGGAAAATATTATCCAACGATCTTTCGACTCATAACTAATGAATTTTTCGTAATTACTTTTCGTACCCTAATTTGTCGATATCGAGTTTAAAGTGCGTTAGCGTCTCGTAAATCATTGCAATAATAATGATTCCCCCGATCGTATCGCTCGGACGTCGATCGTCAATCCTGACATTTAAATAGTTTTTCATTTAAAACGTGCCCGAGTCTTCTTGCCAAACGAGACGGGGACAATCAATCTGAAACCGGCTCGCACATGGAATCCGTTGAAATTGCGATCGTTGAATCTGCAAATCACGAGTTCCAAAGCGAGGTAATGAAGGATTTTTCAGCTGCGAGGCGCACCACTCTTTGACACATTCGACAACTTTGCCACTGTCTATTTTCGCAAACCGACGCTAATTCCGGAAGTCCCGATTAAAAGCGCGCCTGGAGACTTTGGAGACGGCGTGGGCACGCCAGCCAAATGGAAATGTCAATATTCGAATGAGCGCTCGTCGTTGGGCGCATTATTACCGTTATGATTAAACGGGGCCCTGAGAATTC